TAGGCTCACTTCACTACTGCGTCCGAGACGAGTGACAGTCGGTTTTAGCAAAATTTTTTTCGGTTGCAGAGATGGATCATAGGATTTCCCTTCGACTTTCTGCAAACATAGCATTTTTCTACTCTGATTTCAGCATGCAAAAGCCTCTAATAACAGTTCAAGATTCTTGCAGTGTTCTTGGAGAACTGCAAGGGGCGATTTTGATAAACAGACAACTACGACACGAATGTCGGAAATCAATCGGGCAAGATCGGACAAGCTCGGATAAAAATTCTCGCCGGTAAAATCAGGAACGAGAATTGGAAATGGGGAATGAGGAATGGAAATGAAAGTGATGTTTTGTCTTTACGCGGACCTCACTCGCACTCACATTCCTCGCCGGATCGAAAGACGCGAGCCACGCCGATCAGCATGCTAAGTTTTGAGCTCATAACGAAATTTAGATGCTTCGGAATCCAGACTGTTCGGAAAGCGTATGCTTCAAGTAAGACAATCCGTCCCCTGATGCAGTCTTTATTCGGAATTTGAAAGTTTGACTTGAAAAGGGATAGATAATTATAGTAGAGAAGATTTGTACAGATGGCAGGGTTGTTATGAGCTGGTATTCGAAACATTTTACTGTCAACTCTAAAAAGAAGGCGCTGGCTAGTCCGAATGCTTGTGAATTAATTTTTCAGCATCGAAGCATGATATTGGTGGAAATAGAACTTGTTCATGGTGCCGCCTGCTTTCAGTATCAGAGTCCAGTTTCTAAAACTCTTTATGACAACCCTGAGAAGGCATTACTTGGCCGCGGGTTAAAACTTATTTACCTTCGAATTATAAATATACGGAACTGTTCATGACATCTTTCCCGATTGGGCCATGGACTTGATAGGCAATTGCTGATTCCAAACTGAGCCCCGACCTACAGTCAGGTATTCCTTTTCTCAGGTGGGGAGAGATTGAGCAACTGTATTACTCCCCCCCCCCCATAAAAGACTGCCTGATATAGGCTATATAAGACCATGCTTCTAAAAGATTGATGAAAGGAACTGGTGAGAATTTAGTGCACGAAGCCGTGCCCCAGTTTCTAAGTCTTGTGTCTTGTTCAATCATGGGTGTTTTAGAATGGATACTGATCCATTGTTATGTTATGGTACGTGTAAATTATCATTGAGCTACACTTTTGCCCCTTTCCCCTTAACATGATCCCCCCCCCACTCTCTGGTATTCTTCCTGATGCGTGACAGCGTGATGGGGTCATTGACAGGTGTTCATTCACTCCCCCCCTGCCTCCCAAGGCTCTTAGTTTCAAAAATAATTCCCTGTCCAGAAACACTCCTACGAAAATCTTGTGTTAGCACATCCAGCTGACCCACAATGTAGTCCAGTGTTATGCACAGTTGTGGAGGAATATCTCTTCTCTCCAGGGGTGTGGTGAGGGTAGGCTGTGTAGCTGGGATGCCTCCTAAACCATCAGCATCCCCAGAGTCCTCCCAGTTACTTCATCTAATTTGTTCTGTTTCTGAAGAATGAAAATGTGCGAGAAAATATGTGGGTTAACTTGGCCCTTAAACGGAGCCAACTCGGAGGAGGGGGGGTAGGAGTTCTCGTGAACTTTTGAAATGGTATAGAGAGATCATGTCATAAAAAAAAAACGGAAAGAGAAATGGGATTACATTTTATATAAACGCGTGGAATTCCTCTACCCAACCCCTTCCCTTCCTCCTTTCCTCCACCCCTCCCACAAAAGAGAGAAGGATGCTAAATTTATTGCACTTATCCAAGGGACTCAAGTAAGACTGCAGTCCGAGGAGATAAAGAACTTATGATCTACCAATCAATGTCAATGGTGATTGATACTAAATCTTGGCCCTTAGCTAATGTAATGCGGCAAAATCGAAAAGGAATCCTTATTAGCATACTTCATCCACAGAACAGTTTTTGGTACAACAGATCTAGAAAAGCAAATTGATCATAAATCCATGCAGTCACTCTAGACGAACAGTAAAGCACCTTTGCAAAGCGAACGAGTAAATTTATTCACAACACGTTCAGTAGGATATTCGATTCGTTTCAACAATGGTCAACTGTTTATAAAACTAGAGGATATAAGCACTGTAGAACAGTTATACAGTAAAAAGTATCTTACGATATCAGTAATTCATTCAATCAATTTACATTTCCATAATATTTTAAGGAGCTTATTCATGAAACTCCTGCAAACAAAAAATACCAAAAATACACTTCAAAAGATTTGGATAAAATTGAAATTATATACCAAGCAAAACCTTATTTAAACTCTTTCATGCTTAACAGCCAAGGCAAAGTAGAAAACCTTTCTGTCGAATCCCTTTCAATTTCTTGGTAAATTCATTTTAAATTTTCTTGCTGCTACTTATTACCTGTAAAATTTTAAGGTCTTTAGGCTAGGCTTACTTCAACTTTAGGTGGCAATCATGTCTAAATACTTCTCTCCTTAAATTAATCGTTACACAGTCTTTGTTGAAATTACGATGCTGATAAAAGCATAGAGTTACTAGGCAATTTCCACAACTTTTAAGTCTCATTCCTACTAGCTACTGTCTATATGTATATATTTGACACTGATTTGAAAAAAAAATACGCTTCTGTTAGACGAGCGAACGACTGTTATCAAACAACAACAAAAGGCAACTTGAGATGCATGTAGACTGATAGAAATGCATGTTTCAAGGTGGCCTCACATCAGCAACAATTTATACTTATCGGTGCAAGTGTACAAGAGTTTTTTCTTTTTAGGAATGTCTTTTTGCATTCAAACTGCTCTTCGACGTAAAAAGACTTTTCGTTTCACCAGCAAACATTTGTTATCAAACTGAAGGCAGATTATCCGAGGGATTTTTTGCGATCGATTTTTTTAGTCGATCTACTGCAAAACAATCACACTACTCTACTACTGCATCAAAGAAAATAACTGGACTCTTCGTGAATTTCAAGAGCAACTCCGATTCTGGCTTTTTCTTTCAGATTCTTTTGCTTCACATGAAGTGTGTCAAGAATGTTCGTAACTTAATAAAATAATACTAATAATCGATCAAATGTTGAGAATATCTTAGTTTTTTAAGCTTTGTTTAAGGTTGAATTGCTGATTTCATAAATATGCATTCATTTCAGAATGATAACTTCTTTCCCATCGAACTCTGTAATCAAAATCCGATCATCCGACATTGTGGTAACACCCCAGGGCTGTTTAAGTTGCAGATCAGTACTTGTCTTTCCAATGAAAGTTCCTTCCAATGAAAACTGTTGAATGCGATTATTCAACCTGTCGCATAAGAAAACGTTGCCATGCTTATCAACACTTGACCCACACGGCCAATCCAACCGTCCATCACCGTCTCCATATTTTCCAAACTTGTACAGAAACTGTCCTTTTCTGTCAAACACCTTCACACAGTTATTATTCTTGTCAGTTACAATAAACTTGTCTTCGTAACAAATGCAGCCCAACGGATGATCCAGCCTCTCGGAGCCGCTGTTTCCAAACTTCAACACAGGTTTACCATCCATTGTAAACACTTGAATTCTGCTGTTAATATACTCCGCAACAACGATAAAACCTCCATCGCTTGTAGTACAAACACTTGCAGGATTCTTCAAGTCTCCGTCTCCACTTCCCTCTTTTCCAAAGCTTTTCACAAAGTTCCCTGTTCGTACATTCAACTGCTGTATTCGGTGATTACTTGAGTCTGCCACCAGAATCTCGTCATCGTTTATGAATGTGACGTCGACTGGTTGATTAAACTGCCCATCCTTGTCTCCATGACATCCAAGTTTTCGTCTAAAATTTCCTGTCTCATCAAATACCAGGATACAGTGACCTTTACACCCAGCCACAGCAATAACACCTTTACTGTTCACTGCAACCCCGGCTGTACCCGGGGACACTACTCCCTGAAAGTCTAACTTGCCTACAAAGTGTAACTGTCGTGCTTTAACTGGAATCAAAAATGGACTCTTGGCAAGTTTCTGTCCATTTATCCTAACTTCCATATCATAGGTACCTGGTACTTTCGCTACAAATTTTACTATAAAACTACCGTCTTCTTTTTCACTCGTCAGGAAATTGCTCACCCGATCCGCAGGTTCTAGGTGTACTTCAACGCGATCTCTATGCTGAGTGTTTCTGATTTCTCCTCCGCTTGATTTGGGACAAATCAATAGTTCTGCTTCTACACCAGCTTGGAAATTCTGATCCCGTACTTCCACGGTCGATCCTTGCACATCTGTTTCGCTGAACTTCGTAAATCCTAGACTCAAACTCTCTGGTTCACATGTTGACACAAACTCCACAAATGAACTAACCGGAAGTGCTGGCATTGTGGTCTTGATGAGGTCTTCGATTCGTTCTTCCACATTCTTCTTGTTTTGCATTAGGTCTGAGCTCGAGCTTCTCTCAACCAGGTTGTTACTGAACTCAAATACTTGGTCGAATTGCTTTTCCAAAGAAACAACCGATGCTTTTCCAGAATGTAGTTTCTCAATCCTCGACACGCGAGACTTCTCGAAGGCAGTAATAGATTCACTTTCCAATTGGCGTAGCTTTCTTATCATCTGTTCGACTACTTGGGAAACTTGGAGTTTAGCGGTGGTAATGTTCGCTTCCAACTCAAGCTCCGTCTTCTCAAATTCACGAATAACATCTCGGCAGACCTCTTTCCTCTGCCTAACAAGCTCGGCTCGTATAATGATATTTGCTTTTTCATCATCCGCCGCCTTTTCAAGTGGAACAACATCATGGCTTTTGTGATCTGTGACGATGCAAACTTGACAAATACAGCTTTGGCAAACAACACAGAAAAACTTTGTTACTTCTTTCTCGTGGTACTTTACGGCGCAAAATGACTTCCTTTTCAACAAGGCCTCGTAGTCTGTCACTTCAAACTGTCGCACTGGGGTGACTTTGTGTCCCTCGAACAAAGTATCTCGAAACACGTCGTGCGCTTTCACACAGTCTAGGCACATGAACTTCTCGCAATCAAAACAGTAGTTTGTCTCAGCGCTCTTCTTCTGGCATGTACTACAGCTGATCTCATTTCCTTCGCCACTGCGTCGAACGGCAAGAAGACTCAACAAGCTGTTGTGCAGAAAACTGCTTGGCAGATTATCAAAACGCTCTCCTTCAGGAATGCGAATTTGTGTCTGACATTCGGGGCATCGATAAAACCCTTGTCTTTGGTTTGTTAGTGCATGTCTCTCCAGGCATTCACAGCAGAATGTATGAAGACATGCAATGGTCTTGGGTTTGGTGTAAGTATCCAAACAAATTGAACATGTTACATGTTCTTTGAGGTTTTTTAGAAGCGACTCCATCACGAATCGACGACTAAAACACATCCGTGTATCGTTTTGTGATTCCGAGAAACTGAACTGGGAGTATTATTCTATTTAAAGCAGCCAATCGAATATCTTTAGGATTGCGTGATCTTCGCGTGAGAGTTGACAGTTTTGCATTAAAACTTTATCCGCTTATTGTCTGCTTCACCTATTACTACTGGGCAGTTAAATATAGATTTCATATCGTGACCGAATGCCTGGTTCTCGAGTCTGTCACCCAAGAGGCCCTGTTAGGGTGGGTATAGATGTCGCCCGTCTGAATTTCAAACTTTGTCACGTCACCATTTCGGAAGATTCTGATGTCGCTGTCGCAATTTCATCAATGTCGTGCTCGAGGTCTCATTTTCATTTCCCTGATGTCGCTGTTTCAACGCCATGTCGCCCGTCAGTCGGAATTTACCCTAGGAGCCTCATCCAATAGAACATGCTAACGAATGTTTAGACTAAGATCATCAACCTCATTTTCTTTTCGCTACATTTACTGCTGTGTCGTGACTTTGGTATTCCGGCGAGAAACTAGTGTAATAACAGAAATAGCAGAAAATAGTCAGCATTATCTCTTCAGAAGAGATTTCGTGTTCTCTCAAGCTGTAGATGAGGGCTTGGACCTTTAACTCCCAGACGTGATCAAAATGAAACTTCTCCCTCTGATAAAAGTAGAAGAGCAGTTGGGGTGTCTGGCTCTTTGCAAACTTAGGGGTCCAAAATCTGAAAAATTACGCTAGAAAAATTTGATATAAAAAGTCTCAATCTAAAAAATTTTTTCTAAAAATTTGGAAAATCCAAGAATCCAGAAATGTGAAAACAAGATTGAAAAATATATTTCAACAAAGTCGAAATCCAAAAACGCAGACTCACGAATAATAATAATAATAATAATAATAATAATAATAACGAATTTTTATACAGGATTGAAAACCCATCAGTGTGTAACACTGTTGTCCTTGGGGTCCTGTCAAAATAATAAATAAATAAATAAAATAAAACTTAACAAGATATAATCATTGATCTTAAGGTCTTAAAATTCCAAGAATTCAAAATGGCGGATTCATAAAACTTGTTCAAACTTGCTCAAACTTGTTTTCAAATTTGGGGAATCCCCGAGAGAAAAACACTCAAATAAATGTCACGTATAGTAAATATGTAGAAAAACAGACCAAATACACTTAAAGAAAAATCACATATAGTAAATATGGAAAAAACAGACCAAATACACTTAAAAAAATTTTATATAATGAATATATAGATATGAATAAAACAGAATTACAGAATCTAACAGAAGACCAGCTCATCGAAATGATAATGAACTTAAGACCTGTTCCAAAATATCAACCTAAACCAACACCAAGGAAAATTAAATTCACTCCACCATTCAATAATATTAAACAGATGGTTCAAGCTTATAAAGAAAACATTATTGAACCTCCTCTTGAGTTTCGAGATGATTATAAACCAGTACCTAGACCAAGAACAAAGAAGCCAGTCCCTCTACCAAGGACGAAGAAGCCTGGGAGTTCTTCTACTAAGAACAATAATTGATGAGACAAATAAGGCTTTAAAAGGATACACTAAATCATATGAAATAAACATAAAGAATGATAAAGATCCATTAATTCAAATGCAGAGCACAAGATTGGTTATTGATAAATACATTGGGAATATATTGAAGGAAATGAAAGGCCTTAAATTTGTAGAGACATTAAAGGTTACTTTTAAAAAGTTGGAAGATAAGGGTGATAAAAAAGTACTGATTGAAAAAACTGCATATTTCAACAGCAAACCTCAGACAATAATAAATGAAACAGAAATGGCAGATTCTTTGCAATTAATAGAGCAATATATGTTCAATAAAATAGTACAGTGGTTGTCAGAAGGATCTAGCTGGCGTATTCGATCAGTTGATAATCCCTTCCTAAATACTGTTCTATATAATCCAATGGAAGGTTCTTCTTATATTCAACCTCCTTCAGAATTAAGAAATCCAAAAAAAAGATTAATTAATTTGAAAAATACTGATAATGAATGTTTTCGTTGGAGTCATATTAGACATATTAATCCACAAGACAAAGATCCTCAAAGAATCAAAAAAGGTTGAGAGAGCTTTTATTGACAAATTTGATTATTCTGGAATTGAATTTCCGGTACTGACCATTAAACAAATCAATAAGATCGAAAAACAAAATAACATTAATATCAATGTATTTGGTTCTGATAATAAAATGAGATATCCAATATACATCAGTAAGGAGAGAAGTGAAGATAATATGAATCTTTTATTGATAACAGAAGAAAGTAATTCACATTATGTATTGATAAAAGATTTTAATAGATTTACGTTTAACCAACCGAAACACAAAGAGAGAAAGCATTTCTGTATGCATTGTTTGCAGTGTTTCAGTTCTGAAAAGGTATTGAACAACCATAAAGAGAATAATTACCTTGTGATAAATGGAAATCAAGCCATAAAGATGCCAACTAAAGATAATTACGTATTGAAATTCAATATAATTATCATAAGAAACTACCTGTTCCATTCGTCATTTGTGCTGACTTTGAAGCAAGAACAGAAAAAGTACAAAGCTGTCAACAAGCACATGATAAATCTTTCACCGAAGCTTATCAAAAACATACTGACTGTGGTTGTGGCTATAAGGTTGTTTGCACTTACGATGATAAATATGCAAAACCTGTTAAAATCTATCGTGGTGAGAAAGCTGTTTACAGATTCATGGAAAAGATGCTTGAAGAAGTGAAATATTGCCAAAAGATTATTAAATATAAATTTAACAAACCTCTAAAAATGACAAAAAAATATGAACAACGATCCCAAAAGCTGATAAATGTCACATATGCGAACAGAAATATAATGATAAAGACGTTCGAGTTCGAGATCACTGTCATGCGACTGCAAAATTCAGGGGTTCAGCTCATTAGGACTGTAACCTTAACTTACAAATGACTGGTAAAATACCTGTGATATTTCATAATTTGAGAGGATATGATTCACATTTCATCATGCAAGGAATTGGAGAGACTGTTAAAAAACAATAAATACACAGACAAAAAAGGAGAAGAGTGTCAAAGGAATATCAATTTAATCCCAAATAACATGGAAAAATATATGGCTTTCATGCTTGGGAATCATCTTACTTTCATTGATAGTTTTCAATTCATGAGCTCAAGTCTTGATAAACTAGTCAATAATCTTCCCAAAGAAGCTTTCAAATATACATCAGAAAAATTTAAGAATAAAAATTTCGATCTTATGACTCAAAAAGGTGTTTATCCTTACGATTACATAGACAGCTTCGATAAATTTTATAAAACAGAATTGCCAACCAAAGATGAATTTTACAGCATATTGAATAATGAACATATCTCAGATTATGAATATAGACATGCTCAAAATGTATGGAAAAAATTCAAGTTAAAAACGATGGGTGATGATCATAATCTCTACCTAAAGTCTGACATAAAGTTGTTAGCTGATGTTTTTGAGAATTTCAGACAAACTTGTCTTCAATATTACAAACTCGATCCTTGCCATTGTTTCACAAGTCCTGGATTATCTTGGGATGCTATACTAAAAATGACTGGCATTAAACTTGAATTGATAACTGATATTGACATGTTCAAAATTCATTGAAAAAGGTGTGAGAGGAGGAATAAGTCATATTGCTAATTGATATGGAAAAGCGAATAACAAATACGTGAAAGATATGAGAATGAACCCTCGAAATATATAATGTACCTCGATACCAATAATCTATACGGTTGGGCTATGTCACAATACCTTCCAACTGGAGGATTCAAATGGCTTTCACAAAAACGAATGAATGAAACAACCCTTGGAGTTTACACTGAAGAAAGTAAAAAGGGATTAATATTGGAAGTCGATCTTGAATACCCAGACGAATTACATGATTTGCATAATGATTATCCACTTGCTTGCAGCGGAAAAGATCAAAGTCAAACAAGACATGTTGTCAACGTATTGCAAACAAATAGCTGAAAAATTCAATACATCAACAGGTCTTGTATCAGCACTGATCCCAACGTTGTCAAATAAACAGAAATACGTTCTGCATTACCGAAATCTTCTATTACATCTTAAACTTGGAATGAAATTGAAAAAGGTTTATAGAGCACTTGAATTTAATCAGTCACCATGGTTAAAACAATATATTGAATTTGAAACACAAAAGAGAACTCAAGCTAAGAATGCTTTTGAGAAAGATTTTCCAAATTGATGAATAAATCTGTATTTGGAAAGACAATGGAAAACTTAAAAAAGAGTGTGGATGTAAGACTTGTGAGAAAAAGCTGTTGAAATGAACATGAAAACCAATCTTTGTATGAAGTAAGATATTCAATGAGAATCTAGGCGCTGTTCATAAGATAAAAGAAACATTGACTCTCAACAGGCCAGCGTATTTCGGAATGTGTATTCGCGATCTTTCAAAGACATTGATGTAATATATCAAAAACGAGTGCGAGTCTTTGACCGGAGTTTTCAGACACCGAGAAACAGATGAAAGCACGAGGCCGTAGACACGAGGCCGTAGACACGAGGTGTCTGGAGACCCCGGTCAAACACGAAGCATGAGTTTTTGATATGGCTTCTAAAACTGTCCACACTTCTTTAGTAATTAGGGGGTATTGTTTCAGTGCTTTAATTTTCCACGAGATTATGTATTTTAAAAATATTCAGAATGTGGGAAATTTTTTGTTGTTCATTGTACGGTCATGTGGTAGTGATGATGGCAGAGTCTTTTGCAGCAAATACTGTAAGCCGTTTTCGTTCTCCAAAAACTGGGGAAAAAGAATCAAAGTTGTTGCAAGGAAGCATTCCTAAGTCGACTGCCTACAAAACAAAATGGGCAATTAAAAATTTTCACGAATGGCAGATAAATAGAAAAGTTAAAGTTCCTGTACTTGATTCTGGTGGTGCTTTTAAAGATTATGGAGATTTGTACAAAGTTCAGTCGTTGAGTACAGATTTGGTAGATATGGATGCCAACGCTTTA